TGATTACTATTTTGTTTTCGAGCATTAAACGTAAAACGTAAAAGATAAGCAACTACACGTTGAAGTTTTGAAAATGATGAAAACTTAGTAAGTAGCGAGTTTTGTATCGTACTGATGTTGGCCCGTATGGGTGACCTTTTTAGTTCAAGATCTGCTGCTGGAATGTTGTTATTTAAAACGTAGGTTGGCCAGGCTTCTTCTGGAAGTTGTAACCATTTTGGACCATTCCACCATAAATCGAAGTCATTTAACTGGTGAACGGTGAGCCCCCTTGTGGCGCAGTCCGCTGGATTCTCAAACGTGTTCACATAATACCATTGCGATGCAGAAGTCACTCTAAGAATTTGTCCCACTCTATTACTTACAGCCGTTTTCCAACGATGCGGATCACCCTTTATCCAGTGAAGAACCACTTGTGCATCTGTCCAGTAGTACTGGGATACATTATTGGTAAGAATAGATGTATGTTTTATTACCCAGGCAGTTAATTGTGTTCCCAATACCGCACCGCAAAGTTCAACTCTTGGAATAGTTAAGGGTTTCATAGGAGTGCTACGACTTTTAGACATCACTAAGCGTGTAAGAATTTTGCCGTCGCAAAATTGTATTCTAAAATATATACTAGTTGCAAAAGCCTTCGACGAGCCATCACAAAATGTATGTATTTGGAGCGAAACAACTTGTGACGAATGATACCCCAGCCATCTTGGTATAGTTATGGTTTTTAAGTTTTGTAACTCCATAAGAAATCCTTGCCATTGGTTTTCAAGATCGAACGGTAATGGATCATCCCAGTCCAACGGTACTAACTTTTGATCATCAGTTAAATGTTGATAAGAACACACTGCCTTGAAAATTATTTTTCCTGTTACCAATATTGGGTTGAGGAGTCCTAACGGATCAAATAGTCGTGCGATGGTAGACAATACTTTTCGCTTAGTGAATTGACTGCAGGCTAGGATATTCCAATTGAATTTGAATTCATCGCCGCTGTTATGCCACCACATGCCTAATGTTTTAATGGTAACGTCTTGATTTAATTGTACTGCTTTCGTATTCGATAATTGATTTTCATGCAGGCCTTGAAGAATGCGTAGATCATTGCTACAAAACTTACGCAGATGCATTCCAGCTGATTTTAATGCTGCGATAACCTCATCACGAACTTTCACTGCCATATCCAATGAATCGTTGCTATAAAGTATATCATCAACATAAATATTTGATTTTAACACTGATTCTGCTAACGGAAATCGTGACTTCTCGTCTTCGGCGATTTGCTGAATTACTCGGATAGCAGTATACGGCGCAGAGGCAGTACCAAACGTTACGGTATTCAGACAATACTCCTGAATCAGGCCGTCATTATTTCGCCACAGAATTCGCTGAAATTGTGCGTCATCTGGATGCATGCTGATGCATCTATACATTTTTTCAATGTCTGCTACAAAGACATATTGATGTAGTCTCCAATTTATCAAAACTGCTGCCAAATCGTTCTGTAGTTTAGGACCCACGCATAGAATGTTGTTTAATGATTTGCCGTTTGATGTTTTACATGATGCATCAAAAACAATTCTCAATTTTGTTGTGAGGCTTTCTTCTTTCAAAACTGCATGATGAGGCAGTACATAAGAGTTATTTATTGGTACGTAATTTTGATTCAATTTGCACCGTTGTTGTTCAGTAGAATCTGCACGGGTAGCGTGTCCCAAGCTGAAATATTCGTTAATCACCTGATGGTACTGTTCTTGCAAATCACTATTGCGTGCGAGCTTACGCTCCAAATTTAAAAGACGGTTTAATGCAATCTGCCTAGACCGACCGAGAATTTGTGTCGGATCAAAATGTGACTTCAGTGGTAAACGTACCATATAGCAACCATTTTGTAATCGAGAATGAGTTTTAATGAAGAAATCTTCGCACCACTGTTCTTCAGAAGAGAGTTCACGATCGGGAATTACCTGATCCTGCTCAAAATAATTTTTTACTAAATTGTCCAATTCATGTGAGGTATGATGGCACCGTATCATTTGCAACTTTGGCAAAGCTGACCCAATATTTCCAGAAATAATCCACCCTAAATGAGTTTGCTGCGCTATTGGTTGGTTGGACGCCCCAATTCGTAGTCCTGCTAGTATCAACTGTGCATATACATCAGCACCAAGAATTAAATCAATTTTTCCTGGTTTAAAGTAAGTTGGATCAGCTAAACGTAACCCGTTTAAATGTGGCAAATTCTGTATACAAATAGAGTGACCTGGAATAAGACTTGTTAGCGATTTTAAAACATATGCGCGCTTAATAACTAATTGGAAATCCGAATGTAATAGTGAGTTTATAACAAACGTAACGACAGACTTGGAGCCTTCTGTTGGGCTTTGCCCTACACCAACTATTTCAGTGCGGGTTGGATAACGTTTAAGTCCTAAACCTTGTGTGGCGTGTTCTGATATGAGAGTGCATTCGGAACCCTGGTCGACCAAAGCACGAAGAATGACAGCTTGATTAGTAAGTTCGTTCTTTACTGACACTAGAGCGGTAGCCAAGAGGACTCGTTGTTGTTCACCTTCGGTGTAGTCGGCCGTAGTCAAAGGGTAATCGGGCGACAATATTGTGTTGCTTTGCAAAAACGGTGTACCATTAAACGTTTGTGGCGATGGGACGTTATGCTGTTGTCTGTCAACCTTGTTGGACAAGTTGTGTGAAGCGATGTCAACATTGCTGTTTGGTTTTGCAGAGTTTTCTAATGGCGGAAAATGCAGGAGTGTATGATGACGCTGCCCACATTGTTGACAGTTTTTAGTACTAGGACACTGTGAAACTGTATGGGATCTGCATAAACAATTTAAACATAGCTTCAGTCGAGACGCGATGGACTTCCGTTCGAAGCAATCCTTATTGAGAAATTGATGACATCGACGAATTACATGGTTATTTTGACATAATGGACATAGCGACGTGTTGAGAGCCGAATGGTGTGATTTTTTGTGTTGGCGTTTGGACTGTAAGGAGTTTCGAAATGGTTGTATATTTGCGTTAGGCGTGATATCGATAGATGCATCGCGACTCTCAAGAACATCCAGCGTTACTGCTCTATCATTCAGGAAAGATTCCAATGTGGCAAAGGTGGGAATGGCGGAGTTGCTTCCAAGATGGAGTTCCCATGCCTTTCGTGTTTCTTTGCACAGTTTCGTTGAAATGTAATAGGCTAACCAATGATCACTACCGGTGATTGGAATCTTCAGTCTGGCAAATTCGTGTACGCATACCTTAGCTGTATTTAGGAGTAATTTTATATCAGCCGCTCGTTCCAGTAATTGGCTAGGAATGCTGAATAAATCTTTCATAACATGCATAAATAAAATTCGGGGATTATTGTATCGAGTCACCACTAGTTCCCATGCAATGGGATAATTAGCTTCTGTCAGCTGCATGTTGTGAATATCTAAATCATTGTCGTCTGGGAGCGCCTTTTTTAGAAAGTGGAACTTCTGAATTAAACTTATCTCTTTGTTAGTATGAATTAACCGTTCAAATGCATCGTGGAACGCAGGCCAGTCGGTACATTTTCCAGAGAAGGTGGGCACAGGAAGAGTAGGTAGTTTTATGTGTGCTACTGGTTCTGGCATCGGGATAATTACTGGTGCTGATTGTGGTGGAGGATATACCTTTTCGAAGCTCTCTTGTATAGTGCAGAAAGCCTCTAAATGAGCTTCGTCGAAATTCTCACTTACACATTTCACAAAATATTCGGATGTTCGATCTTTGCTACTACTTACTATTGCTTCATGAGTAACTTCAAACTGGTCTCGTAAATCCTTCAACTTCTGCAATCTTTGTTGGTTATAGATGTTCGTCTTCCGGACCACGCTATCCTTCTTGAAGTTTTTTAGTAGTGTCTGTACCGCTATTACTCGGTCATCCTGCATTACCTTCCAATTATTTTCTTTCTTTTCTGTGGTCATTGTCTTGAGTTTATTAAAATGCACTTTTCTGAATTTGTCTTAATTTCAGTGAACTTGAACACCTTTGTTGTTTGTAGTTGCGTAGAAACGGCACAGTTTTTTTTTTAGGCTAATTTTCGTGTTGATATCTTGTTAGTAATGTTTTATGCGATTTCATTCCTCGAACAGCAATCACGTGGCAATTGGTTAAAATTACAGCCGACAATTGTAAATGCAACTTATAAAATGTTCTTTTCCTTCGATGTTCCCCCCATGGGCCACCAAATATGTGTAAGTAACTTTCTTGAATTTACTTATTGTGGACTTGTTTTACTTAATTAATAAAATATCCAGATTTGTGAATAAGAACATTTATAGGTTTATTAAAAAATGACAACTATAATTATTATACAATATAAAAAAGGCAGCACACAAGCAAAAACGTTCGACTTCTATCTTCTTAACAACCCGAACACACTGGGAACGAAACACGTCACAGTAGTAACACAAAAATTGAACCTTTTGTGCTTCGTGTTATTGAGGTTACCACCTTTCTTGTCCACAGATGATTAAAGTACGTCTGTAGAATTGTATATAAATTGAATACAGATGAAACCTTCAGTAGGCACTGATCAGAGAATATTCATTTTGAAGTGATAGTGTAATATTTGTATATATAAAGTAGTAACCTAGTAAAGTAGTTCGCATCCTAGTAAAATAAATATAAATGTACATATTGAACTCCTTGCATTGGGAGGAATAATAGTTGATTTTTTTAAGGACAATCGAAATATTGCGTTACGTTACGTTGCGTTGCGTTGTGTTGCATTCTCCTTTAAAAACACAACAATCTTTCACTTAATATCATATTGTTCTGCCTTTTTTAAGTTTTGTTCTGTTTTTATTCAATTTATTAATTTTACCTATAAAAATTTAAATTCGTTGCATTTTTCATTTGGATCCTTTGCTGTGTCATTCATCTTACTTGAGTGTCTTTATTCGTCCAGGTTTATATAATGCATATACTCAATAATGACAATTTCATAAGTGGGACTATTTGTCTTTCTTTTTTCGTCTTTATTTATTTTTCATAAGTTTATTTTTCCTATGTTAAAGACTCTATTCCAGAACTTGCGTTTGCGAATAATTTACTTCTTCAGAGCAGAAAATGAAGACTGAAAATATTTTCCTAAAAACAAGAAAATTAAATTAGAAATATTTTCACACTTATTGAAAATACTATATTTTATTAAATACTTAACGGAGTGTTCTGCATTATGTAAATAAAATGATAAATAAAAATCATCTGCAATAGCAGATCGCGTAAAATAACGCGACTTTGCGAATTCTTCCTTCACACTAGTGGATTTTATGGAAACTGACGTCGACAAGGCAGTATTTTTAAACATTCTTTTTCAATGTTCAGAATAGTTGGCCTTGAAATTCAAATTATTTTGATATCCCAAAAGAAATGTCTATGTAGATTATATTAAGTATTGTTAGTTATAGGTTGAGCAAGAAATTACTAAATTGGTAACATATACCTACATATATAGACAATGCTGAACTGAATGCAAATCGCTTGTTAAAGTCATCTTACAAGCGATTGGCCTAACTTCCAGCTAATGGCCAAACATATAGCCACAAAACAACAAAATCAAGGCGTTCATGTTTTGCGCTTAAGGTGAGTAACAATTCGAATATCTAAAAATCGAAATCAAAATTGAAATCTTAAGTGAAAGCATTAATTTGGATGACTTCTCTTCTCTTTGTTCGATTTAGAAAATTCATGCATTTGATAATGGATCGGTCAAAACGTCCTATGTGAGTATTCAGTCCAGAGTACATTCAATTTATTATAATCACCATATTCATATATGGTGCATATTTATTTGCTATTAAACTAATTCCGAGTTCTGATATGTATGTGATTTCGATTATTTTAATTCTGTATTCGTTCGAATTTTAGATTAGCCTTTTTCTTTGGATTAAGTAAGGTAAGTAATATTTTTATGTTACTTTTTCAGTAATACGAGTATTATTGTATAATTATTAGAGAGCAAATATAAGGAAAAAGCAGAGCGAAGGTAAATTCTCATTCTCATTTGATTTAAGTTAGGTGAACTTGTGTCTACAATACGAGTATGAGTATGGGTATGGATATGCTTTCGTTTCAGATACGAATGCGATATCGCTTTGCAGAACTTATTAAATGAATTCGTCGGATTAGGAAGGTTAGAGCATCCTTCCTTCCTTAAAAGCTCCGTTTTGTGTATGAAATTTACTCAGCTGAGTAACATCTGAGGTAAGAATAATTTATTTCATATTTATTTCAAGTCCCTTAATATATATTCCTTTTTAACCGAATAATTGATTTTAAATTCGATATTGCAAATAAGACTACTGCATGCGATCTACATTTAGTTTGATATCAGATTATTGGAACTTTAAATAAATTATTAGTTATATGTTGTTTTTATTTCAAAAAGTTTATGCGAGTTTTCCACGTTTTTCAAAAAAGATCACAGTTTCGTTTTCTCATTGCGATAATGCAGATGTCTAAAGTATTGAATATTGTAAATTGATGTCATCAACTCGTTATTACGAATTCCTTATTATTCGCGTTATTAACTCGAACTGGTAGAAAAGAATAACATTTTACCTGATTGAGTAGAAAATATTTACTTATCATATAAAAGATCTTTTCTATGACAGATAAACTAGACTCAATTCATATATAAATATTGTACTGACATTCGATATTCGAAACGAATATAAGCCAAAGTTATTTTTTTGACAAGTATTTTCGCATATACTTCAATATACTTGCTTCAACAAAATTTTAATTAGTTAGACATTTATTAGTTAAATTAATTTGATATATATTTATTCTCTTCATCCATGTTTCTAAAGTTCGCTTCTATATATAACTTCACATTTTCTTTAAGGCTTTTACAGATGTTCGTTGTAGCTGACACATTTAAATGAAATGTCCCAAAAGAATGTCTGTAGCTTTAATTAAATATTTTAACTTTTTACTACTTAAGCACTGAAAGAGACTGAAAAATAAAAAGATTAACTATATGAAGATAATTTCAATAATAATACGATATTATAAAAACTTATGTACATACGATTTATTTCTCATTTTCAGGTACCGATCACTGGAGTTATTAATAATGAACAATAAGTCATGGTGTGAGAGTTACTTTGTAATTCATCATACCTTTAATATAATGGTTGATCTATGCACCAAACTCAATTGAACATCCGACAGAAATATGTTCTCGTTTGATGGCGCTATTAAGTTGATATGCAGCGACACGATAGACAATGTAGCAGAACTGTACTAATGGTCACCCATTCAATTTATTGTGAATAACAAACCATTTTGAAATATAACCTCTAGCGCATGTTGTTCTGCATTATTGGACATAAAGTGATGAATTCTATAATTTTGGAATCTAATATGTATATCGAAAATTTAGACATAATGTCAACTTTCTATCTGTGCCCTAGGAAGCATTGAAATTAAAAAGTAATTTGGAGTTTGGAGGTTGGCAGTGCAATAGACGATTAAATAGAAGAAACTTGTTGTGTAAGATGCATTTAAGTTGTTTTATTTATTTATTTTACCCATCCATACCTATGTGAATGTAGATTCTGAACTCTACAGTTAACAGTCTACTTTCAAAATACTTTGTTATTCAATTCAATTCTTTCGAATATATATTCTGTCGTTGAATATGATAAATACGTTAAATATATTAAATATTATACTTCGAGTGTAGAAGGGAAATTATGTATCTTGTCTGAGAGAGGATATGTGAAAAATGTGGTTAAATTAAAAATTTGAATTCGTTAGAAATTCTAGTCGTATTCAATATAAGGATATTTATTTTGACGAAAAAAATTAATCCATTCAACTTGCATTCTTAAGATATAATCCATACCGTATCGTAAATGAAAATGAGAGAAACTATCATGTAAAACTTTTTAATGGAAAATTCTTGATTTTTTCTTTTATGTATCACATTTATACAATGCAAGATAATAAAATAAGTCTTTTATACGGTATCGATTAATAATTTAATAACGAAGTTAAGTTTCTAGTAATATGTCAGTAGGTTATTAATTGTTACATTTCAGTTAGGATAAGACTAAATTTCTCCATAAAATATTAACTCGGTTCCAATTGATCAGAAACAATATATGATTCAGATTTTAATGGGTATTTTTATTATTTTTTCATAAACTCACTTTTTTTTCTGTTTTATTAAGTTAGTTTAATTACAATACTATTAGAATCAGAAAAAGAATATGAAATTATTAATCCTATTAACAACAGGTTTTTTTTATTAATTTATTTCTAGTTTGAAGAAAGAACCTTTACTTACAGCAAAATAACTACATACATTTTGGTTTTCCCAGTTATTTTCCACAGAAGTTTTTACAGGACTCATACGCGAAATCTAAGTAAATGATCTGTAGTGTTGCAGTTAAGGATAACGAAAAGGAGCATCTTATTAATTGGAGATAACCAACCTAGAATCAAGAACCAAGAACCAAGATTACAATACTGTGATTTTATGGAAAGTATTAGGTCTATATTCTTCATGGAAAACTTTTAGCGAATACAACTTCATCAAAGGAGTATTTCGAGCACTGCGTAGTTTTGTTGCGTTACTCGATACTTTTGAGTGTCCAACTCGCTGAGTAAAATTTTAAGAAGTATTTGTCACAAAACTATAAAAAATTAAAAACTTTTGTATTTTGTATTTCTAAATTTTTAATATTGTGCATTTCTAAATTAAATCAGAATTTCGATTAAAATAATAATATGAAAAGTAGTTTTTTATTTAGTAAAATCTTATGAAAATTTCATATGAGAGAAATAGTAAGTACAGAGTCATATATTTATAGTATATAAGTTTAGTTTAAAATATAAAGCACTTGATACGGGAAAGTGTAAGATGACAATAAACTATTGTGAATATGAAACCGAAATTGTTTTTTTTTTG